AGTGGCCGCTCCCGGCCACCGCAGCCTCGATCTGCTGGGCTCCAGCGATCCTTCCACCCCAGCCTTCCGAGTAGCTGGAACTACATGCACGCGCTACCACGCCCAGCTCATTTTTTGATTTATGGTAGAGATGAAGTCTCGCCTTCCCAAGCGGGTCTCAAACCCGCGGGCTCAGACAATCCACTCACCTCAGCCACCCAAAGGCGCGGGATTACAGGCTGAGCCACCGAGCCCGGCTGTCTTTTTAATTTTTTACCAAGAGAAATAATTTTTTTTTTTTTTTGAGTTGGAGTCTCACTGTCACCCAGACTGGAGTGCAGTGGCCGCTCCTGGCCACCGCAGCCTCAATCTGCTGGGCTCCGGCGATCCTTCCGCCTCAGCCTTCCAAGTAGCTGGAACTACAGACACGTGCTACCACACCCGGCTAATTTTTTTGATTTATTGTAGAGATGAGGTCTCGCCAAGTTGCCCAGGCGGGTCTCAAACCCGTGGGCTCAGGCAATCCACTCACCTCAGCCTCCCAAAGGCATGGGATTACAGGCTGAGCCACCGAACCCGGCTGTCTTTTTAATTTTTTACCAAGAGAAATAATTTGTTGCTGTTTCATACTTTAGCTTTAGAGAAGATGGCAAAATTATTCAAATGTTAATTTTACCAGTGAACAAAAGAGCCATTTATTATAGCCATAATTTGCTCCCTAGAGTCATAGTAATGTTCAGTCTTTCTGTTGGCAATCTGTGAGAAATTTTCTTTTTGTATTGCAATTTAACCTGACCTCTTGTTTTTTATTTGGGCCATTCCTGCTTGTAACAAAACATTTCCCTGTAGTCTTGTATATTAGTACAGAATTAGATTCTATTGTGATGTCTAATTGTCACTTATTCAGCCGCATTTATTGAGTTCATATAATGTGCCTGACATTGGGCTGATTGTAAGAAAGGTATAGACATGGTTTTTGTCCTCAGGGAACTCAAGGTGAAATGGGCATATAAAAACAGGATTTAATACTCTATAAAATAATATTGTAATAGCAGTGTAAATAAATTGCTATAAGGATAATGGAGAAGGGTCTTCTAATTATCTATTGCTTATGTTTATTTATTTAATGAAAGATTACTCAGAATTTAAACCATTTAGTTCCAGAGTCTCATGGAATTTTTTTGTATTTACTAGAGTGTTATTTAAGGCTTTTCTGTAGCTATTATATATGAGGAAATATATATTTTTATACTTTCCTTAAAAGAAGAAGTTAAGAAATTTTACCTACTGCTTGCTTTGTTTTAATGGCATAGCTTTAATTGCAGCTTTACAGCGTTAACCTGCAATTTCATTAATCATTCAAAGAAAGTGATACTCTTTAGAAGGTCTTACTCTAGTGTCTTACCAATGGGTACTTGTAGGCATGTCCACTTTGATTGGTGGTTGAGTGAATCATCTCTACCCTCTCACAAATGAATATTCTCTTTTTTTTTTTTGAGTTGGAATCTCACTCTGTTGCCCAAGCTGGAGTGTAGTGGCATACTCAGGGCCACCCCAGCATTGACTTGCTGGGCTCCTACTACCTCAGCCTTCCAAGTAGTCGGAACTACAGGTGTGTGCTACCACACCCAGCTAATTTTTGATTTATTGTAGAGACAAAGTCTCACCAAGTTTCCTGGGCCGTTCTTGAATCCACTTGCTTTGGCCTTCCAAAGTGCTGGAATTACAGGCTGAGCACTGAGCCTGGCTGGTCAGTATGTACTTATACTAGGTGTAAAATCCTAGAGAAACCTAAATGGTAGTTAATATAAGAATGCAAAGACTGAAAGGGGTGAAAGAAATGTAGACTTCCAAATTAGTCTTGCCTTGTGGTTCTTCCTTTCTTCCAAAACATCTTTATATATGCCCTGCAGTTATTGTTGTTATAAATGTAATCATGTTAGGCTATGTGACAGAGGTAGAGGTTTGTTTGCTTTAGTATTAGTTTTTTAAAAATACAAGTAACTCTGGATAGCGTGCCATTGTTTTTCCATTAATATGATTTAATATAGATACAGTGCTTTTTAATTTTAATGACCCAAACTGAAATATGCCATATTTTGATATGGGGTGATTTTAAGTTGCTGTCTGGAAGGATTGATGATATAGCTTATTTAGAGAATGTATCTGTTTAAAGCAATCCTGGATGGTTGACCCAGTAAGTTATTTATTTATCTTGAGTCAGAGTCTCATTCTGTTGCTCAGACTGGAGTGCAGTGGCACGCTCATGGGCACCCTGGTGTCGACCCACTGGACTCAGACAATCCTTCCACCTCAGCCTTCTAAGTAACCAAAACTACAGGCATGTGCTACAGCACCCAGCTAATTTTTTGATATATTGTAGAGATGAGGTCTCACCAAGTTGCCTGGGCTGGTCTCGAAGCCCTGGACTCAGGCAGTCCTCTCACCTTGGCTTCTTAAAGTGCTGGGATTACAGGCTTGGGCAGCCGTGCATGGCTGACTTTTTTTTTTTTTAAGGGGCAAGAAATGTGGTATGATGAGATGGAATAGGGAAATAAAAAGAGCAGCATTTATTTATTTTCATTATAAAGATGTGGGGTACAATTAAGGGTTAGGTATACAAACGTTGATTATGTAGGTACCCTTGTTAATGAGGTGTGCCCTTTCCTCCCCTAGCAGTTTCCCTCAACTGCCAATTCCACCCTCTCTCCCCTGAAAGTTTCCTACTACTGCCAATCCCTTTCTTATGCTACTATAATTATTCAAGGTCCACTTATGAGTAAGAACATTTGGTACTCTGTTCTTAGTTTCTGTGATAGATCACTGAGTATGATCGACTCTAAATCCATCCAAGTTGCTATGAAGTCCATATGTTTGTCCTTCTTTATGGCTGCATAATATTCCATTGTGTAATATGTACCACTTTTTTTTTTTTTTTTTTTGAGTGGGAGTCTCACTCTGTCACCCAGACTGGAGCACACCTGGCCACCACAGCCTCCACCTGCTGGGCTCTGGCGTTCCTTCTGCCTCAGCTTTCCAAGTAGCTGGAACTACAGGCACGTGCTACCATGCCCGGCTAATTTTTGATTTATTGTAGAACGAGGTCTCACCAAGTTGCCCGGGTGGGTCTCGAACCTGCGGGCTCAGGCAATCCACTCTCCTTGGCCTTCCAAAGTGCCGAGATTACAGGCTGGCCAATGTACCACATTTTTTTAATCCAGTCTAGCTTTGATGGACAGCATGATTGGTTCCATGTTTTTGCTGTTGTGAATAGAGCTGCAACAAACATACATGTGCAGGTATCTCTTTTGTAGAATGATTTGAGTTCTTCTGGGTATAGTCCCAATAGGGGAATTGCTATGTCATATCAATTTCTTTCTGAAATCGCCACACTGTCTTCCAAAGAGGTTGCACTAGTTTGCATTCCCACCAGCAATGTAGAAGCGTTCCTTTTTATCCACATCCTCACCAGCTTTATGAATGATGACTGTTTTATGGAGTTAGGTAGTATCTCAATGTGGTTTTGATTTGCATTTCTCTGAAGATGAGTGAGTCTGAGCACTTTTTCGTGTGTCTGTTGGCCACCTGTATATCTTCTTTTGAGAAGTGTCTACTCTTATCTTTTGCCCACTTTTTAATGGGGCTATTTGCTTTTTTCCTTTTGGTGCATTTGAGTTCCTTGTAGAGCCTAGAAGTTAGGCCTTTGTCAGATTTACAGTTGGCAAATATTTTTTCCCTTTCTGTGGACTGTCTCCCTGCTCTCTTGATGGTTAAAAGAGCAGCATTTAAAACAAACTGCTGACCTAAGCAAGAAAGGAAAGAGTTTTCTTTCTCCTTTCTCCTACATATTATGGTTCTCATCTTCCTAACTTATGATCATTCTTTTTTTTTTCTTCTTTTGAGTTGGAGTCTGACTCTGTCACCCAGGCTGAATGAAGTGCAGTGGCATGCTCCCGGCCACCACAGCCTCGACCTGCTGGGCTCAGGTGATCCTTCCATCTCAGCCTTCCAAGTAGCTTGAACTACAGGCACAGACAACCATGCCCAGCTAATTTTTTTAATTTATTGTAGAGATGAGATCTCACCAAGTTGCCCAGGCTGGTCTTGAACCCCCAGGCTCAGGTAGTCCACTAAACCTTGGCCTCTCAAAGTGCTGGGATTATAGACTAAGCCACCTTGCCCGGCTGCAACATTTTTTCTTTAGAGAAGTTCAGTTTGAGTTTAGACAATTTACTTCAGGACTTTATGTTACTATAATTTGTGGACTATGTGTATAAACAGCAAATATCAGGAGCTCTGAGTTTATTTGAGTTTGGCCCTATAATACAATCAAATGACTCAAAATTGCATAATTCATAATTATAGGTTCAGTGCTAGATAATTTTTTTTTTGAAGAAAGCAGGATTTATTAAGCAGACAGCAAAACTTCCACAGTGGGAGGGGACCCGAGGGGGTTGCCCACTAGATCATATTTTACTGTTTGGATTGCTTTTTATGTGGGATTACTCTTTTTAAGGTTTCAGGTACGTTCTCCAACCTTCTTTCAAAAATGCCGGGACCAGCATTGGTATATTACTCAGTTGGAAGCTGCACAGACTAGTTATATCCAACAAATAAACAACCTTAAAGAGGTAAGGATATAACATCTATTTCTGTTTTATGTTGTCTGTTTTATATTTAATTTATTTTGGCTTGTTACATTTGTAATTCGATTTTGGATATTTATTACTGTTTGTAATTTTGTAGAAAAAAATTCAGTTATCCTATTTCCCATCCTTACCACCTTTGAGCCTCTAGTTCTGCACTGTCCTCTTCTGTAGCTACTAGCCACATATGGCTAGGTAAATTTAGCTTAATTAAAATAAAAATTTTCGTTCTTTAGTTGCAGTAGTCAAATTTCAAGTGCTCCTATTGTACATTGCAGATATAGGACATTTCCGTCATCTGCATATAGTATTACACACTGTTGTTCTACTTTGAGGTAAACACTTTGGGTTACTGTTAGTAGTTTAGGCGATTCTGGGCTGTAAACAATTAAAAGTTGCCCCATCTTGAATTCCTCATATTGTTGAATGAACGCTGGGGAAGATCAGTTAATGAATTTTTATTTTATAATGGTAAACTGAATTGCATGTATGTAAGGAATGTTTCTTTTCCCCCAGTGGAACTTGGGATGTTGTGGGAGACTTGGAGTACTGAAGGTGGTTAATAGATGAGGGAGGAAAATATGAATAAATGCATACTTTAAGAGATTTTCTTTTTTTTAAGAAGTAGGGGTCTCATTCTCACCCAGGCTGGAGTGCAGTGATGCAATTATAGCTCACTGTAACCTCAAACTCCTGGGTTTAAGCGATTCTCCTACCTCAGCCTCCTGAGTAACTCAGACTACAGGCACATACCACCACTCCTGGCTAATTTTAAAATTTTTTATAGAAAAGGTTCTCACTATGTTGAACTTCTGAACTCCTAGCCTCAAACAAGCTTCCTTCATTGGCCTCCCACAGTTCTGGGAGTACAAGTTGAGCCACTGGGCCCACACTTAAAACTGTCAGTATTCACTATACAATTTGCTAAATGTATGGGGTAGAGATTTTCATGTTGAATGTACTACTTAAAACTGCCAGTATTCACTATACAATTTGCTAATTGTATGGGGTAGGTTATGCTGGATATGAGAGAAGGATGAGAATTAATGGAGCAGTGTATCTTTGTCATAGATTTCTTTCAGAAACAGAAGGCAGAAGGGGTGGAGAGAATGGTTTTAAGAGCATCTGAATGTATTTTTTCTTTTTTTGAAACATTTTTTACTGTGCCAGTGAGGCATTGCTCATGGCTAATATATATTTGTGTCATTCTTGTTTTAAAAGAGACTTACCATTGAGCTGTCTAGAACTCAGAAATCAAGAGATTTGTCACCACCAGATAATCATCTTAGCCCCCAAAATGATGATGTTCCAGAGACACGAGCTAAGAAGTCTGCTTGCTCTGATATGCTTTTGGAGGGTGGTCCTACTACAGCATCTATAAGGGAAGCCAAAGAGGAAGAAGAAGATGAGGAGAAGATTCAGAATGAAGATTATCATGTAATAATTAGACCAATGTAGGGTTTATTTTGTGTTTGATGAGAGAAACATGGCTCATGGCTTTTAACATATAATGTTCTGAAACAGTGGGCTGAAAATCTTGTCCTTTGATTTTCATTAGTAATGTATGTATTCCTGTATGTAGATATTAATGTTTATAAGTCAGTTGTTGAATCAAAACATTTCAGGGTTCTAAAAATTAGTTTATTGTGGAAAACTATATATTTTATAAAACAAACTGTGATGTATATTCTAGAAACCAAACTATATATATTATGGATTTTAAAAATGTGTTCTATTTCTGTTGACTGAAACTAGTAGGTACTTTATCATTGCATATGTAGATAGAATGATTTAGGATGGGAGATGGACAAGTTTTGACTCAGCTAAACAACCACCAGAATAAGAATTCAAGAAGTAGTTCTTATTTTAAAAAAAGAAGAGTTGCAAAGACAAGTCAAGGGTTTTCTTTTGTAATAGTTGTTATCTTTTAAGATGAGAGACCTCAATTTTACTTTAAAACAAAGGAGCCAGTGGAGAGAGAGATTGAAGATATGGTTAAGTGCATTGATAACTAATGAGTTAATAGGAGTTGGAATGGAGACTTTAGGTAAACCAGTTTGATAGCCTGAGTAAAAGAACAAGTGGAGTTTGCAGGTAAGGCAGCTGGAAGTTGGAGAAATGTATGCTTAATAACCTGTATTTTTTTCTGTGCAGATAGGTGACTGTTATTTAATGACCTTGAGAGCAATAAAGGTTAGGTAAAATTTGAGAAGTGAATGTTTGCAGTGTTACTCTGAGGAACCTTTCTGGACACTGGCATGGAATATATGAAACATTTCTCTTCACATTGAGGGCCCGGCTGAAGTTGGCAACCATAAATTAGCAGTATGGTTATGTAATTTTCTGGACAGAATTCAACAGCCTAGGCACAGGAGCAAAGGATAAGATTCTGGTAACTGTATTTTTCAATCAAGTGGATACATTTGGAATAGAAATCTTATTTTCTTTGCCTTGATCTAGCATGAGCTTTCAGATGGAGATCTGGATCTGGATCTTGTTTGTGAAGACGAAGTAAATCACCTTGATGGCAGCAGTTCCTCTGCTAGCTCCACAGCAACAAGTAATACAGAAGAAAATGACATTGATGAAGAAACTATGTGAGTATCCCACATTAACTACCACTATAAAGCATCCAAGTGGTAATTATTAGAAGCATATTAACTATGTCAGCTTAACAGCAGAGATTTTTCAGCAGTTTTTTAAAAGACTGAATTAGTAAACAGTCAGTTTTCTCCCTCTCATCTCCAAATTCTAAGCCAAGAGTTTCTGTTTTTGTTTTAACTTTTTTGATTTATTGTAGAGACAAGGTCTTGAACCCGTGGGATCAGCCTTGGCCTCCCAAAGTGCTGGGATTACAGGCTTGAGCCACTGCACCTGGTTTGTTTCAACTTTTAAATTTGAATTTTGAAGTTATTTCATACTTAAGAAAAGTTGCAAAAATATTACTAAGAATTTTCATATTCATACAGATTTATTCCTCAAATGTTACTTTTTGCTTTATGTTTCTCTTTTCTCTGTGTATATATTTTTTCTGAAACACTTGAGAGTAAGTGAATTCACTTGTATTGTGTACTTTCTGAAAGCAAGGATATTTCTTACATAACTATAGGACAGTTATCAGAATCAGGAAATTAACACTGATGTAATACTATGACTTTGTAAAAGTTTTGCCAGTAATGTCTTTGACTGGTCCATGATGTAATTCAGAATCACATATTGCATTTAGTTGTTAAATCTCTTTAGCTTCAATCTGGGCTACTTTTTTAAAAATTTTGTTTTTCATGACTAGCACTTTTGAGGAACACAGAAAAGTTATTTTGTAGAAAGTCCCTCAATTTAGATTAGATTGTTATGTATTTTTGGCAGGAATACTACAGAAATGATGATGCATCCTTTTCATAGTATGGGGGTGATGATTTCAGTCTGTCCTGTTACTGGTGATTCATTTCGATCCTTTGGTTGAGGTAGCCAGTTTTCTCCTACTTTAAAATTACTACTTTTCCCTTTGTAATTAATAAATATCTTGTGGGGACATTTTTAAGACTGTAAATATCCTATTTCTCATTGTGCTTTTCCTATTAATTTTAACATCCCTTGATAATTTTTTTTAAGAGATAGGGTCTTACTCTGTCACCCAGATTGGAGTGTGGTGGGACAATCATAGCGCGTTGTACCTTTGAGCTCCTGGGCTCAAGCAGCCCTTCTGCCTCAGCCTCCTGAGTAGCTGGGACTACAGGTGCCCCACTATGCCTAGCTAATTTTTTTGTATTTAAATGAATTTTTTTTGGTAGAGTCTCACTTTGTTGCCCAGACTGGTCTTGAACTCCTTGACTTCCCAAAGTATTAGGAATACAAGAGTGAGCCACTGCACCGGGCTAATAATTCTTGCTTGATAAAGATGGCTGTGCTGATTACCAAATGATAATTTTCTAATTCATTATTCCTTCTGTATTCATTAGTTGGAATTCATTCATTCATTGGAATTTAAGCAAGAGCTTTCTCCTCTGCTCCATTAATTGATTATTTAAATGATTAGTTAATTTCAAATGATTAGTTAATTTCATTAGTGTGGTGCCATGGATTCTTGTTATTATTGTAATACTTTACTACCATTACTTTTTCTTTTTAATATTTTTTACTTTATTATTGCTATTATTATTTTACTATCATTATTTGTTTTATTGCTCAGATTATGTTAAATTTGACCAGTGGAAACTTGTTGTAGCTAACTCCTGGGGTCTTTTGACATGTCCTCATCATTTTTGTTTTTGAGTTGGAGCCTCGCTCTATCGCCCAGGCTGGAGTGCAGTGGCACGCTCACGGCCGCCACAGCCTTGACCTGCTGGTCTCAGGTGATCCTTCCACCTCAGTCTTCCAAGTAGCTAGAACTACAGGCATGCACCATCACACCCAGTTAATTTTTGTTGATTTATTGTAGAGACGTGGTCTCGCCGAGTTGCCCAGGTGGTTTCGAACTCATGGGCTCAGGCAATCCTCTTACCTTGACCTCCCAAAGTGCTGGGATTATAGGCGTGAGCTACCATGCCCGGCCTGTACTCATCATTTATTAAGCATTTTTTAACTTTCTGGTACTACAAGTCCAGGTTTATCTTGTACTTTCTCTATCCTAGCACTAGCTTCAGCTATTTCCCAAAAGAGTAAGGTGAGAGTTTTGACACCCTGTTTGACTCCCCTTCATTTTCACAAATTAACTCCTCAAAATAGGCCATTTTCACTTAATGCTTCCCCTTTAGTATTTGTAGCAACTTGTCTAAAGTGGTTTAACTAGTTAAAATGTGAGAGTAAAGTGCCTTTAAGCCTCTATATCAGAAGTCACTTAAAAAACTTAAAAAAATTTTTTTTTGTAGATATGGGGTCTCCCTATGTTGCTTAGGCTGGTTTCAAACTCATGGCCTCAAGCAATCCTCCCACTTCGGCCTCCTGAGTAACTGGGACTATAGGTATGCGCCACTACGCCTAGCTAATTTTCTTATTTTTTGTAGAGATGGGGTCTCTCTGTGTTGCCTAGGCTGGTCCTGAACTCCTGAGCTCAAGCAATACTCCTGCCTCAGCCTCCCAAAGTACTGGGATTATAGGAGTGAGCCACCATGCCTGACCTGCAGCTTGTCTTTTCATCTGTTTAACAAGGTCTTTTGCCTAGCAAAAGTTTCTAATCTTTCTGGAGTGTTTTCAGAATGTACATTTTGTACTTCTTTTGTTACATTCATTTCTGAATATTTTATTATTTGATGCTATTTTAAAATGGAATCGTTTTTAAAATTTCATTTCTGAATTGTTCTTTACAAGTATATAGAAATCCAATTGATTTTTGTCTATTAATTTTATATCCTGCAACTTTTCTGAACTCATTTTTTAATTTTCATAGTTTTTTAGTGGATCCTTTAGGATTTTTCCATATATAGTTGTGTTATCTGTGAATAGACTTAAATTTACTTTTATAATCTGGATACCTTTTATTTCTTTTCTTGCCTAATTTCCTTGAATAGAATGTCCAGTACAGTATTGAACTGATGTAAGCAGACATTTTTGTCTTGTTCCTAATGTTAGGAGGAACATCCTGTCTTTCTCCATTAAGTATGATGCTAAATGTGAGTTTTTCATAGACACCCTTCATCAGGCCGAGGAAATTCCCTTGTATTCCTAGTTTGTTGAATGTTTTTATCAGGAAAGTGTGCTGGATTTTGTTTGTTTGGTTTTTTTTTTTTTTTTTTTGAGTTGGAGTCTCACTCAGTCGCCCAAACTGGAGTGCAGTGGCCACTTCCAGCCACCGCAACCTTGACCTGCTGGGCTCCGGCGATCCTTCCGCCTCAGCCTTCCAAGTAGCCAGAATTACAGGCATGTGCTACCATGCCCGGCTGATTTTTTGATTTATTGTAGAGATGAGGTCTCGCTGCCCAGGCGGGTCTCAAACCCTCCGGCTCAGGCAATCCACTCACCTCAGCCTCCCAAAGGCGCGGGATTACAGGCTGAGCCACCGAGCCCGGCTGTGTGCTGGATTTTATCAGATGCTCTTTCTGTATTCAGATGATCATGGAGTTTTTGCATTTTTTTCCATTGATATAGCTTATTCCAGTTGATTTTTGGATTTTAAATCAACTTTGCATTTCTGGATGAATCCCACTAGGTCATGTTGTATGATTCTTCTCATATATTGCTGGATTTCATTCACTAGTACAGTTATTCCTCAGTGTTTTTAGGGGGGTATTGGTTGTAGGACCTTACCTGGATAACACAATCCAAGGATACTGAAGTCCCTTAAATAAAATGGCATAGTAATTGCATGTAACCTATGCATATCCTCTAGTATACTTAGTTATCTCTAGATTACTTATAATACCTAATATAATACTGCTGCCTCAACCTTTTGGGCTCAGGCGATCCTTCCTCCTCAGTCTCGATATTTTTCATTTTTTTGTAAAGTTGGTGTCTCTGTGTTGCCTAGGCTGGTCTTGACCTCTTGAACTCAAGCAATCCTCTTGGCTTAGCATCCCAAAGTGTTGGTATTACAGGTGTGAGCTGCTGCACTGGCCTAAATCAGTTTTTTTTTATTTTGAGTCAGAGTCTTACTGTCACCCAGGCTTGTAGTGGCGTGCTCACAGCTACCACAACTTCAACCTGCTAGGCTCAGGTAATCATTCTGCCTCTGCCTTTCAAGTAGCTGGAACTACAGGCTCTGCCCCCACACCTGGCTAATTTTTTGATTTTTTTTGTAGAAACGAGGTCTCACCAAGTTGCCTAGGCTGGTCCTGAACTCTTGGGCTCAGGCAGTTCTCTCACCTCTGCCTCCCAAAGTGCTGGGATTACAGGCATGAGCCACCGCCCCTAACCCTAACAGTATTTTTGATGCACAATTTATTGAATCCATGAGGGAAGAACCCATGGATATGAAGGGCTGACTGCATTTTGTTGATGCTCTTAATATTGTTGTTTATTTCTCTTAATATTGTTGTTTTATAGCTCACTTCTCCTGCTAGGCAAAATTTCTGAGCCAAATCTTTGAAGCTGGAGTAAGAAATAAAGGTGTGTGCTTCTTCGGCCTTAGAAGCTGAACTAACTAGGTGTTGGGGATAGTAGCCTCAGCTCTTTTTAGCTTGCCTTTTCAGACCTGGGACCTCCACCTTATGAATAAGCTGGAGCAGGAGTCATCTGGGCTCCTGTATTCTCATCATGCTTCACCCAAGTAGAGCCTCTATTCTACAAGTGGGTCTGGGCAGAAGGAAACTTCCACCTCTTGGCCACACATGCCCATACCTTTGCATCAGTAACAGTAGCTGGAGGCAGACTGAGAAATGGTGATGTTTTGCCCCTCCCTGGAATAAAACCCTCCTCTTGGGAACTGAAGGAAGTGGTAGATCTCAGCTTCACTACACCAGTCTGGAGTGGAATTGTATTGCTGTTTTAGTAGGGGAAGAGGAGTGTTCTCAATTCGGATACCTAGCTACTTGGGTGGCTGAGGCAGAAGGATTGCTTGAGGCCAGGAAGTTTAGGCCGTGGTGGGCTGTGATTGTGCCACCGCACTCCAACCTGGGTGATAGAGTGAGACACAACACTCAAAATTAAATAAATAAATGAATGAATGAATAAATAAATAAATAAATAATTTTCACTCGTTTCACTGGAGAGCATGTCCATAGTGCTCCTCACACTGTCAAGCTGGGTGCTGATCTTGAGATTTCTTTAAATATCCAAAACTAGCATTGATTGCTACTGTTCCGAATAGTACTTTGTTGTTTATTTTAAATAACTATTTTAGTGAGTGCTTTTTAGTATGAGAGATTTTGTAAGAACTAATAGGAAGCAAAACCCTCTTTTCTGCACTGTTATTTTAGGAAAATAGTATTTAGTCATATATAGTAATTTGGGCTTTTCTTTGGACATCAAAATGTATTGTTTTGGGCCTAATTTGTTACTATCATGTTACCAATTCTCTGAAACTCTAATCTCTTCTTGCAGTGGTTTTCTCAGATTTTCTGTTTTATTTACTTTATTTTTTATTTTTTTGCCACGCATGTTTCCTTTCCTTTTCTAATTTTTATTTATTTATTTATTTTTTGGGATAGAATCTTGCTTTGTCTCCAGGCTGGATTGCAGTGGGCACAGTGAGTCATAACTCACTGGAGCCTCAAACTCCTGGCTCGAACAATCTCCTGCCTCAGCTTCCCAAGTAGCTAGGACCACAGGTACATGCCATCATATCCAACTAATTTTATTTTATTATTTTGTAGGGATGATGTCTTGCTATGTTGCCCAGGCTGGTCTCGATCTCCTGGCCTCAAGAGGTCCTCCCACCTCGATCCCAAAACACTGGGATTGCGGACACTGCCCCTGACCTAATCTTGTTTCTTTTTTTTTTTTTTTTTTTTTTTGGTT